GACTTGAAGACTCATACACAAACAAGAAGACTGAACAAATTTACAGACGTAGCCACAATCCAAGAACTATATACTACCTGTACTACCTGCACAGCAATTTTTGAGAAACATAAACTAAGGTGGCTGATTGCTAGTGCACTCATGTCTGCTCATAGACTTTCCAGAAGAAGCTGGTTGGACCTTGAATGAACAGAACATTAAGACAGATTACAGCTTGGGTTTAATCCATCATAGCTTCTAAGTTATCTTCATTTGGCAAATATGACATGAAATAAATCTTTTCATCTCTTTCTTCCTTTTATGTTGGCCGGCCCCATATCAAAGTATGGAAAATCTTCTAGGGATACCTCCATGAGGGCAGGTAGTGAAGGTAATGGTAAGAATCTCTCCTTGGTGTGAGTATTGCTCACTACTGGAGAAGAACTTTAGGGCTTTCTTTCCCTTTAGATTAGGGTGGCTAAATTGTTCCCCTACAATATGTTTTCCGGACTTTCCTTGGTGAACTTTGATAGGCAATTCCAATGTGACTTGCAAGACTTAAGGACAGTGCAGCATAATACACTGCACTGCCAAAGTTAATTTTGCTTTATTTTCAATAAAATAATTCAAAAGCAGGAGAAGAAGTAAAATCATTGCACTCAGGAGAATGAGAAGTATAAGGTACTCCTGGTGAGTTTCTCCAATGTTGAAAATAGATGATTTCTGGATTGAATACTGGAAATGAGCTAGAAGTGTTTAACAGTGTAATAGCACAGCATCAGAAAACACGAGAATGGTTGAGAATTTGGGGGATGTGACTGTAACAACGCATGGAGGAGATTCTTGCTCAAGTCTTGGGTTTCAAATCCTTCCTTTTCTCTTATAAGGAAAATAAAATGCCCCAAGCCCTCTCTGGCAACAGCCTAATATTTTTAGAGCACAACATTTGTCTGACTAGCTTTGGGGCATATACGTGATGTAAAACTCACAAGCCACATGAGGATAGGAAAAAGCTGAAGAAATGTCAAGTAAGAGCAAGCCTTTTGATGTCAGGCAACATTTTGATCTTTATCTACAACAGTTGACTGTGAATGCTCCCATGCCCATCTCAGGCTAATTAAGTAGCCCTACTTATCAAGCTACAATATACTGAAATGATTGATAAATTTAGCATAAAGATGTTAGATATAAACACATATTATCAAGGGAAATTGTGGCAATTGGTGACTCCCATGTAAGTGGGTTTGTAAAACTGCTCTATGTTTTAGCCTAGTCTCTAAATATATCTAAAGTGCTGAATCCTACTCTAAAAATAGGTTCAGCACCTTAGATAGCTCTCCTTTTTACTTAAAAATCATGGCAGATTTATTGCCCCACTGATATAGGAGAAGTTGAAAGGCATAAAATGGCATCTTTAACGAAAGAAAGAAATTTCTATGGATATTGTGAATTATAAAATCCAATAAGCTAGGTTTGCAATAAAGAAGATTGTTCAGGGTAAAATCCACTTTACAGTAAGGAAAATATTTTGTTCCATTTATTTTAATTGATAAAGAAAAGTAGCAATCTGTAACAACAACAACAACAACAACAACAACAACAACAACTTTATTTATATCCTGCCTCATCTTCCAAAAAGGGATTCGGAGCTGTTTATTACCATGAAATAAAACATAATAGATAATATAAACAAAATATATAATATATCAAATTAAGATAAAACAAAAAAATAAATGCAAAGCACCAACCATCAATAAACAATTATTATATAAAAGCACTTTGAACAACATTTAAAAAATCCCAGCCATTGCTATGATAAAATAAGCCATAAAATCCAATTGATGATTATTGGGTCATTTGACTATTGTTGAAAGCCTATTTTAAAAGCCAGGTTTTCAATTCCTTCCTAAAAATCATGAGTGTAAGGGCTTGCTTAATCTCCCTAGGGAGGGCATTCCAAAGCCAGGTTGCCACTACTGAGAAGGCCCTCTCCCTCGTCCCCACTAATTGTGGTTGTGATGGTGATGGTACCACGAGGAGGGCCTCCCCGAGAGATCTTAAGGCCTGAACAGGTTCACAGGGGAAGATGTGGTCATATAAATAGGCTGGCCCCAAACCATATAGGGCTTTGCAGGTAATGACCTGTACTTTGATTTAGGCCCAGAATCATATAGGCTTTAGGATTTCAATTTTTGACAAAAAAAAAAAAAAACCTCTAGCAAGGCAAAGAGTGTCACATGGGCATTTTTAGTGAATCTGGTGTATTACAACTGCCATAAATATTTAGAATTTTCTGCCAAGTAGCTGTCAAATTTAAATGACATTTAATTAAATATATTGATATTTTCATTCTTGAACATGATGATATACCAATTGTAAGCTCTGATTCTGTAGAAACTGGATTCTAAAGAAATGCACACAGCCTATTCTCTTGTTTCTGTTCTCCTAACTAGTACAAACTCTATGCTAACCTGAAATTGAAAACTTGGCATGTCATCCAAACAATGGATCTTGGCTTGTCATTCCAAAACAAACCCGGATTTATGAACTAAGAACAAACTTATTCTAACTTGTAAAACAGGAGCAGGCAACTGATGTGGACCCATGGGAATTCTACAGGGATTTAGGGGCAGGCAGTGGATATAGCACAGAGTTGCATGGGAACTCTCCTAGTGGTGTATCTTATCCCATTTGGTGCTAGGAGAACACTCTTACAAGTTGGAACATCTGAGTGTAAAGTCAAGAGTGGACCTATTGTATCAAGACAACAGATTCACCACTGACATTTGCAAGAAACCCCATCCTATGTCTATCGTCCACAGCAATCCCAAAAATAATACCTCTCTTATGCCTTAAGATTGACAGAACTCCTGGAAGTGCTGTTTCACGCACACACATACAACTACAACATTCAAAATCCATTTGTGGTAATAATCATTTTTTGGTCAACCAAAAGGCGCAATATTCCTTACACTAGTTCATGAAGTCTACTCTCTTCTCTATCTTGCAAATATTTCTTCAAAAATTGCATCTTTTGAGTCACAGGTCTGCACCTCTCTTGCTTGAGACATCACAGTGAGAGGAACAGAAGGTTTAAGCCTGCCTCTTCTCCTGCCTTGGCCATGATGTCACGAGGAACAAAGGCAGTGAAAGAGAGCATTAACATTTCCTTTCTTCAGTTGCTGTCATTTAATGCTTCATTTTGGATTCCTGCCTGTCTCCGTTTTGTCTTTCAGGTTATTTTGTCAGCAGATTTCTGTGACCATTTCAGGAAGCAACCTTACTATTATGTCTAAAGTTAAATTTATACACTGTAACAGAAAAAACACATCAATAGCTTTCATTTCCTAGAGGGGATTAAGCATCGTAAAATCTAGTTTTAATGAAAGATGACATGCAGTATGCCCTCCACATTTGTAGGTGTTGGGATAAAGGATCTCTGAAAAAGCAGAAACTGGCCCACTATTTTTTATACCTGAAAGAACATTATTGTAGGCATGTCTAGGTTCTCTAGCCCAATTATTAGGTGAATTGCTGATGGAAGCTGACTATAGAACCACACCAGAGAACCTAGACATGTCTGCTGAAGTGTTATCCAGCATTTCTAGGTCCTCTAGAGTAATTCTATGGTCAACCTCTGGTGGAAGTCTATCATAGCATCACATTGTGGGTAGGACCTAGCAATGTGTACAGAGAACATCTTTTTTCAATCTATTAATAATTATATCAGTGAATAACCCACAGATGTGGAGTAATGACTTCTCCAAGTTAGGATAGTCCATCTTTTCCAGGATCTTCCAGTGTTGACGATAAAGTAAATCCAAAGTACTGTACATATTATGATGATACCTATCCATAAGGCACAAAAGTCATTACACTAGCTGTCAAAGCTCATCAGGAACAGATGCCATTACATTAGTTATTGAAGCCCATCAGGAACACAAATTTTCTATTTATGCTGCAGAGGTTTGGTTGCAGTGGTGTGGGAGAAGATCCTTGGAGGGAAGCTAGAACTTCTGCAGGGGGATGTAACTCATGGGTTGCATGCTGCCTACCCCTATTGCAGAGGAAGTGATGAAACAGGAGGATGACAAATGACATGTCATATTGTTAGTTTCTGGTTACTTTTATATCCATACTAGCAGGGAGAACCAAAGTGGGAATAAACAGGACATGAGGTCGGCAATTTTTTTCATAGAATTCTATGCAAGCACAGCTTTCAAGCCATCACAATCACAACAGCTTTAAGAGACTCTGAATGTGTTCTTCAACTCATTTTCTTCTTTGCTGTGCCCTTTGCCTGCAGTAACTGATTGGCATTCAAATATTTTAACGTAAGACCTTTCTTGCCCATGAAGAGTTTTTTGGATTCGGTTTTTAGCAAATCAGTTTGCAGTTCAAGACATAATAGCAGCAAGATCAATAAAAAAGATGACATATCTAGTTAGAACTTTTTTATAAATTAATGTTTGCCCCACTGATTAATCAAACAAAGCTTCAGGTGGTTAAGCTCCTGATCAAATTTGAAAGTCCTTTTCTCCACAGCCCTTGAAGGCAATGCTGCCCTATCTCTAAATATTTACAAATCTCACTGATTGTGGAAAGAAAATATATATGCTAGCACTTTGTTCTTTGTAAAACAAGACTGCCCTCTGTTGACAGTGAACTCAGAAGCTCTTTGAATTTAACATATTTTAAATCCTGTACCGGAACATAAGTAGTATTTGTACTTTTCAACACAACATTGGTCCCTGAAGATAGTATTCCATTTATAATAGCCCCTTATAAATAAACTGCATCAGAGAGGGGGAGGGAGAATGTTTTAATAAGTGTTTGTAGTAGCCGATCTTACCTGTCACTGCTATTGTAATTTGAAAGACCTAGTTTATAGAATAAGTTTTCATGTTTTTATTGGAAAGTGTATACTGTACTTTTAAAAGTTGTATTTTATTTGATGTAATGGAGTATGGCCAGTACAATAAACAACTCAATCAATAAATGTTTGCAATGGCAGATCTTACCTGTTCATAATAGTGGATATTATTTTCTGCGACATCGCTAAATGCCACCTTCAGATCAACACGCATACTCTGCTTCCACCTATCCCAGTCAGCCTGTAGAGCATTATTGGCACATTCGACTTTGTCTTCAAGTTTTCCAATCTCTTCAGATAACTAGGAAAAACAAGCAACCAAACAAATATATTATTGGACTAAGTTGAGAAATTTGTCTTAATAAGTTAGCTTAGGGAAACTTACCTTATAGAAAAGATGGCTATTAGGAACTGAGTAAAACACTTTATTTCACTGCATAATAGTCACACTTTCCCCCATCTTTTGACCCAAAAGAGGGTGTGTGACTATTACACAGTGGTGATTCTTACATGATGAAAAACTATGCAGCTATGGGGCTTCATTTGGCAGCCAACTGAGTGAAACCCCATAGCTCCAAGGGGGCAGGTGCACGGGTAAGTTGCAACCTTTATTCACTTGCCCGTGCACCTGTGTAGGAAAGTGAATAAAGGGTGCAAGTATTATGCAAGGAACAGCAAAATCTAAATTTTGCCACTGTAATAATATGGGTACGGCTCTTACGTGGTGGCGACTATTATGCGAGGAAATACATGAGGCCCTCCAACTTTGCAAGGTAAAAGTCCCTTCATGTAGATAGCATGGCCATGTTGGGAGTTGTAGTCCAAACATGGGCAAAAATTATAAGTTGCTTACCTGTAACTGTAGTTTCCTGAGTAGTCACCTGTGAATTCGCACATATGGTATCTCTGCGCCTGCACAGACCAGTTTCGGAACCTTCTGGAAGATTAAAATAGACATTTTACCCCCGCCTCGCCCCGCCCACCCCGAGTATATATAGCCCATGAGCGGGGCTAGGCCTCCAATTCTCTTCCGCCGCAAAGCAGCCAGAAGGCGGGGCATGACACTCGAGGGGAGGACGGGCGGGGATGTGCGAATTCACAGGTGACTACTCAGGAAACTACAGTTACAGGTAAGCAACTTATAATTTATAATTTTTATAATTTATAATTTATAATTTATAATATAACCTTTCCAAAATCTAGTAACAGTCCTCAAGCTTTCCTGAATCTGCTGGATGAAAGTGTCCGTTTTGCACTATCTTCTGCTCTTAGTTCATTATGAGCAAGAGGGACACCAAAGAAGCCACAAAATGTTTACGGTGCTTTTAACAAATATGTGACAGATATGAATTTGTTAAGTTTTTACTACTGAGATTTAGGAAATCAATGCTGACCAATGAACCCTCCGAGGTGGCCTTGGGCCAATCACATTACTGCAACCTGTTCTAACTCACAAGGTTGGTGTAATGATAAAGGAGAAAGATGAGCCACCATGGCATAAGATATAGATGTTACTAACAAGTAACATAATAAAATTGTCAGAATTCATTAATATTTAGCTATATTTTCAGAATTTAGGAAGTTGCAAAAGAGGGCATGAGCTGGTTACTTTCTTTTATACTTTCGATTTATTTTGTAATTTCTCTAGACGAAAAAACGAGAAAACGTATTGCAGAAACAAATGCACATGGACGTGATGCACAAAGGCTTATGAAAACTGGGAATGCTGTATATGTCGAAGCAACCTCATCTCAATTTTGAAATTTGGATGATTATGGAAAACAACCGGAGATAACACTGAGAAAACTGGCTCACCCTAAGATTTCTGACTATGCAAAGGCATAGAAATTGTGCTATAAAAGGGGGAAAAAACCAATTCATTTGACACCAGATTTTTCATGACAGATCCTGCAAGCTAATCATTACTCAACTAGGATTCACAACCATCACATTTTTGCAGTCCTTACTTCATAACAGTTTCCATAGTAACCACCTCTGGGCACTTATTGTAGATAGGCCACAGTTACATCCTGGCACATTCTTGTTTACTGCCATTTAATTTGATCAGACACATAAAAAAGACAAGGCTGAAACATGTTTTTAATAGCATTGTAGAAATGGAAAAATTGGCAGATGAAATTGATCATTCCAGGGGTGAGAGAATCCATAGATTTAGCACCTCAAGTTCTTCCTCTTCCTACATATAAGAGAATTTGTGAATTTTCATGAATGACCTGAAATTCTCCCATGTTTTTATCACTTCAATAAATACAGCTTATACCTAGCATAGAAGACCACATTTCTTCTCTTTTGGCCATGTATATAATAAAGAAAAACTGTACTGTTCCATTATCCAGATGGAGGCCACAAGTGGGCACTAGAGAGAGAAAGATAGTCAATTTTACACGGGGAAAGGAGTTGAAAGTGAAATCATTTCCCCCTGTTTTCCTGTTATTTTCCCCACCCATGTCCTCTTTTTGGAAACAACCCTTGTTTATGATATGGGAAGGGGGAGGAGGGGGGAATAATAAGCAAAAATTGGATTTTTTTCTTCTTCAACCCCCCCCCCCCCAACAATAAAATGAACTATCCTTCTAAGTCTAGGCCCACTTTTGGAATTCGCCCGGATAATACAACTGTAGCAGAAAAACTTATCAGGAAAATAAAATAAATGGATAGCTTCCTAAATCTATCTATATAAAAATGCTCTGTTCATTTTGAGTGACATCATAATTCAAATTCCGATGGACTAATTGTCACCAAATTTGGCCACAAGGCACCTACTAATCCAAGGAGTGACCATCACTCAAAAATGTTTTTGTCATTTGGGAGTAGTAGTTGCTGGGATTTATAGCTCACCTACAATCAAAGAGCATTCTGAACTTCAGCAATGATGGAATTGAACCAAACTTGGCACACTGGACTCCCATAGAAAACACTACAAGGATTTGGTGGGCACTGACCTTGAGTTTTGGAATTCTAGTTCACTTACATCCAGAGAGCACTGTGGACTCAAACAATGAAGGATCTAGACCAAACTTGCCACAAATACTCCATATGCCCAAATATGAACACAGATGGAGTTTCGGGGAAATAGACCTTGACATTTGAGAGTTGTAGTTACTGGGATTTATAGTTCACCTACAATCAAAGAGCATTTTGAATCCCACCAATGATAAAATTGGGCCAAACTACCCACACAGAACCCCCATGACCAACAGAAAATACTGTGTTTTCTGGTGGTCTTTGGTGACACTCCCTCACAACCTCCAGGTTGAGAAATGCTGCCTTAAGGCCATCCAGTCCAACTCCCTTCACCAGGGCAAGAAAACATAATCAAAGCCCTCCTGACAAAGAGGCATCCAGCCATAGATATAGATAGATATATATGATTCACTACATACACACACACACACACATGTATATGACAGATATGGTATCACAGATGTGAAAGAAGAACAATTATGTGTTGAATGTTCTAGAATAAGCAAGCCAGACAATCTCTACATCAACACTGGCAAAGAAACAACAAGAAATACTGTTTACCCACAAGCATAAAGAAATAGCATATATTAGAAACCAACACTTTCTTGTTACTTTATTTTCTAGATCACCAGACTGGGCCACAGCAACGCATGGCAGGGGATGGCTAGTCTCTATTAAAATGGTGGAATGATTCTGGCTTCACACCCAGGCTTTTTAAACATACAAAAGCTCTGAGCATGATTTGGTCACTACTTCTACATTATTTATATGTTGTTTCCATACAGCATATAAAGATTTTTTTAAAGTTATTTTGCATTCACTTCTAAAACAAAAGAAAACAAAAAAAAAAACCCAAGAAAAATATCTACCAATTTCATAGTGCTAATGGCATAGGGAAAGTAGTATCCATCAGATTTCTTTTTTCTAGTCAGTGATGAATAATATGAAAGTACTCGTTTCTATTTGAACTGAATATTTTGTAGATATTTAAGTTTGTTAATTTCATTCTTACAGGAAGCAATACAGAATATTAGTAAATTTTTCACTATAAGAAAGTCTTCAAAAACAATGCATTGTTTAAACACTATTTACACTTCAGAACTAATTCTGAGCAATGTGATAATTTTTGCACATAAAATTACATTTAATGCCCAGAAGACATCATTTTCTGTGGTGCCTTCTGCAGCTGGTAACTGCAGAATACACCACAGTGCAAAATATCTATGTGTGTTTTAGAGCTGAGTAGGAAGCAATAATTTATGTGCAGAAAAATTCTGTACAGAAATATTATTTTCTGCACCGAACATGATTTATTCTGTGCTAAAATACTACAGGGAAATTTTTCACGCAATAAGTTCCAAATAAAATTGTGAAAATTATGCTCAGTCTAGGGGAGCAACATATTTTTCAGCTACTGTTTCAATATTTTCGAATATTTTCCCTCCCTACCATTTCATTATGCAAGCATTAGAACTGAGCTGCTCCACATATGTCCTCCCCCAATCAGCCCCCCTCCCCCAATCCAGAGTTATCTTATCTGCAGCTGCTCCCAAACTGCGGATCTCTTTTCCAAGAAAGGTCAGGTTGGCCTCCTAGCTGTTGTTCTTCAGCTGACAGAAAAAGACCTTTTCATTCCACAGAACGATTATTGCAATTGAATGGCTGCTGAAAATTGGGCTTTTAATGGGATGGGTGTTACATTGTGCTTTAGAAGCTGTTTTTAATTCGACTGTGTTTTTTAGAAGCTGTTTTAACACAATTGCGTTTTAATAGTATAATTTATTTTACTCTATTTTAATGTTACAGCTTGGTGTGTTTTAATATATGTCTCTTCCTTCACCTTGCTGTGCACTGCCTTGTAACTCCGTGTCAGGAGACAGGTGGGACATATATCAAATAAATGAATAAATAAACACATCGACACCCTCTCCCAGATTACCATGAATTTTGGATAGCTACAACTTTTTTCCTTTTTCCTTTTCCTTTAGCCTGCCTGACCTACTGGGACGCCTGAACTTTATTATTCCAAACTTTTAAATTCAGAAGATCTTCACTTAAGACAAGGAAAGATTGTGAACTTTTTAATCAACAGTTATAGCCAGATTTTACTGTTTCTATCTCATAAAAGTTGTTTATACTTAATTTATATATCTGATTTATGTAATGTGTTATTAATTTTACACGCTGATGTATTTTATTCTATGTACTATATGACACTTTAGAGATTTTGAGGGGTATAAATAAAGTATTATTATTATTATTATTATTATTATTATTATTATTATTATTATTTTGTTAAGACCCAAAACTACAGACAGCACTACTCCTCCAGATGATGCAACTCCCATCATTCCTTACCAATGGCTTTACTAGTTGTGGCTTCAGGAAGTTGGAGGTCCAACCACATTTGAGGGGCTCCACAGCTTCCAGAGATCCAAAATTCTGTAATGGTTTGAATGTTGGACTATGACTCTAGAGACCAGGGTTTAGTTCCCTACTTGATCATGGAAACTCACTGGAAGACTTTGGGTGAGTCACATATTCTAATCTGTAGAAAGCCCTACAATAGGGGTCTCCATGATTTAGAAATGTCTTGAAGGTACACAACAATAGCACAATTCCCAATCATGATGGAACAGAAATTAACTGCACAGACCAATTTTTTTTCATGTCAGGAACAACTTGAGAAACTGCAAGTCACTGCTGGTGTAAGAGAATTGGCCATCTGCAAGGACGTTGTCCAGGGGACGCCAAGATGTTTTTGATGTTTTACCATCCTTGTGGGAGGCTTCTCTCATGTCCCCGCATGGGGAGCTGGAGCTGACAGAGGGAGCTCATCCATGCTCTCCCCGGATTTGAACCTGCAACCTGTTGGTCTTCAGTTCTGCCGACACACGGGTTTAACCCACTGCGCCACCGGGGACTCCTAGACCAATGTTGAGGCCCAATTTAAGTCAAGTTCCTATGTTCTTCCTTGAAACAATCAATTTTCAATTTCACCCTCATTATATCCTTATGAGGCAGATTAAGCCAGGATTATATCTTCCCTTATGTGATTACCATAAAAATTGAGTGTGGACCTTCTTCTTCCAAGGATGTCATTCTAACTTTATTTAACTTTATTACACTGGCAGCCTTGTTATGAAAGAAAAAGGTTGATAAATCAGCGGAGGATTCTAAAAGAAAAACCTCATGGCTTGCAATACTTATGAGCTGTATCTCGAAAGCTGTTGAATTTATTCTATGACATCTCTAATGAAATTGATTTTCAGTTTAAAACAGATATATCAGCTGCAAAAATATCCTCTTTATCCATTCCTTAGGTGTCACAGCTGAACTTTTTACAGGGAAGAACTTATGTCTGTTTAAAGATTACGCGCCATAGCCTTTTCTCAGCACTAATGACATGTTTGTGATTCCATTTCTCTGGTACAAATCCTCTTCACCTTACATTCACATTCATGCCAATCACTGTCAACATAATTTTTAGATATCAGTTTTCAAAGAGAAGCTCAAATGGACAGTTGTGTAGAGCTCATTAAGACCTATGAGAGAGCTGCCTAAGGGAGGGAAGGACAAGTGGCATAATAGAGTTAGATTCTGTTCTCTGCGGCAATAAAGTAAGGTGTTGCCAGCAGTTCTAGAGGGTTTCACAGAGAAATCTCTCATAGTCTTAAACTGAGATTCTCTAGATCTGTCTTAGAGAAATATTTTGCACCCAAAGAACCTAAGCAATTCTCAAGTATGCCCAAAGAAATCAAACTAGAATATTGAACTCAGTGCTTAGACATTTTACTTGTGTGAATTGTTATTTTTCTGGACTACAACTCTTAGAATTTCACAGTTGGCATGGTCCTGGGCCATAGAGGGTCTACCCTAGGAAACCTTTTGTATTGTTACCCCAATACCCCCATGCATATGGGATATATTGAGTATGGTGATCAGATCATGATATGAATAAACACAACAGTTTAAATAATGCACCAGTAAGGCCTTTTCGCGAACCAACATGAGAATTGGGGGGGGGGGGGGCTGAAGCCCCTCAAGTTTCTCAAGTTGCTCCTGACATGAAAAAAACCCCCAGATTATCTGTTTATCCTAGATTATATAGCAGTAGAGGAGACTCATATAATCCAGTTCAAAGCAGATAATCTGGGATCAGATCCTGTAATATAGGACAGAGAACAAGGGGTCTAAGTCTTTCATGATTGTTGTAATTACAGCTTTGGTTCTACTGTTACTTGTTGTATAAGTAATAACTTGCGGTAAGTAATACTCACAAACTTCTCACCCTTGACAAGAAAAACTTGTGCTGGGAAAACTTGTTGAAAACATGCACCTTCATATTGAGGTATGACATTATAGGACTTTTAATGAAAAAAGTGCATTACTTTTGTTCATTGTCAACTATCTTGCAGTTGTGGGGTTTCAACTTGTGGATCTTGAATTCAAATGTTGCACAAGAGCTAAGCTCTTTTGTATCCAAGGAAGCTCAATGCTCGCACATGTATCAGGGATTCCTGCTTTAGCTAAATTTAACAAAATCTTAAAAGTTTTAACTGTATTGTGGGGCCTTCCGAGCTCATCCTAGGCTTCACTCCTCTTTCATCTTCAATTCAAGGGAAAGATGAAGGAGGAGGAAATGGCAGAATCCTTGAGACAGTCACAACTGTTCTCAAGCCTCTTTTCCATTCTAAATGGGGCAAAGATTCAGGAAGTGAGTTGGGTCATCTTGGGATAATCTCAGGTTGAGGAACTTTTCAGTTGGTATTTTTATAACAGAAGGCAGCATGTTATTGTTTTTGAAACTGTTTGGTTCTGTTATGCGGTTGATGTAAGAACTTTTTTTAAAAAACAACATGCCAAATAGAAAAACAAGTGCACCTGACCTAATTACCAGTTACGTGACACAGGACTCATCTTAAATTCAGTTTTGTACAGAACTACTTAGTTTTTAAAGCCACAATTTCTCGCTGTAGAGTCAGTGGAGCACTTACATATCAAATTTCAAAACCTGAAATTAAGCAGATCACAATTTTTAGATCAGTAAGTGAACAGCTGCACTCAGATTTCAAACAAATTACATATCTAGGTCCAAGGAAATTGCAGTATGGCAATTTACATAATACTTAAAAGCTGTACTCCCAATTTGCATTCAATTGCATTCTTAAAAATAAAATGGAACAGAAGTTTCATGTAGTTTTCTGACTCTCCTAGTAACCATTAGTGTACCAAATATCAATTGGTGTGGGGTGATTCCTTGACTGGTGTCTTGTGTGCTTACACTGAGAAGAAGGTGAGAAAACTCATCCTCTGTGCATGGGTTTGATACATGCAACAAAATGAGATGGAATCCATACATTTTGTAATTTAAGTGCTGAGTGAATTACGAAGTGCAACATTAATAGATATCCATACCACTTATTGTTGTAAGTTATAACAAAGTGCTGAGGGGATATAAATTACGTGTCAGAACAAACTAACTCCGGACTTCAATTCTTTCTCTCAAGAATATATGCTATAGTGCAGCTGTGGCAGTGAAAATTCTGATGGACGAATACTTTCCTTTCTCTGAAGGCAGCAATTTATGCTACAGAAAGTATGAAAAGATGCTTTAAATTATTTTGCTTACATTTTGCCCCTTCTGGAACTGTCTTGTCCAGATGTTTTTACCTCTGCAAGTATTGCCATAGAAAAAAGCAAGAGGACAATTAGGAAAAAAAATAAAGGGAGGGACAAGAGGGGAAAAAGTTAAAGGTTCTATTTTCTATTTTCTACAAGGCAGGAGGGGCCTTCAGTAATATAACATATTGGTTAGGAGAGGAGAGGCCTTCCAAAAGTTTGTGGTCTTCCAAAAGTTTCTAGACTGCAACTGCCAACAGTTCTAGCCAGCATACACAGTAGTAAGGAATGAGTGATTTCCACCTTTGTGTTAAAATGTTGGCTGGGAGCAAGGAGTTGTTGTTATATGCCTTGAAGCCACCTCCAACTTATAGTCAGTCATGCTAGGATTTCCTTCAGAAAATGTATTCAGAAAAGGTGTGCACTTTTTTTCTTCTAAGATTGAGAGAGTGTGATTTGCCCAAAATCCTCTAGCAGCTTATCATGGCTGCATAGGAAGTTGAACTCTTTGTGCTGAGTCTAGGACACAGTCTGCTCCTCTGTGTCGCTGCTGCCACTGCTCCTATCTATTAATGGAACTCCATTTGAGCACGTGGCCACTATGTCAGAAAGGGGCACCCACACGACTAACAAGTAGACGGGGCAATAGTATGATCAAGGTGTTCACAAAATTTTGATAAATATTGGAGAAAAGATGGAAGGAGATAATCTGAGCTTTAATTTAATATCAGCACCTTGGATTGCGCTCTAGAAAAGTACAGACAGAGAGTCTGCAGCTTAATGGTATGTAAAACATGTGTTTCAAACAAAAGGATTCCTTAACATCTCCAGCTAAAGCATTTAGGTAGCAGGAAAGACCTTTGCAAGGGACACCGGAGAGCTGTAAGCAATACATATCCAGACGGACAAATATCCTGAGCTAGTTGTTTCCTAGGAAGCCAAAGCAGATGTTGAAGTCCCAATATATGTACTTTGTCATCTATCTTCATGAGCAGTCCTGAGTAGCAATAAGTTAGCAATATGATATAATCCAATTTTTGATTACTGTAAGAAATTCCCCATTACATTTTGCGAATCTGCCTACTTACCAGATCGTTTTCTATCTTTTTATTGTATACAGCATCAATTTTGGCATCCAACTCAGCTTGGATTTGGTCTCTTCTTTTCAAGACCCCCTGAAATGCAAACAGTACAGATAAATTACAGCACAACATAATCTGCAGATAATAATAAGCAGGTTCCCTTGGGGAGAATGTGAATAGAGAACTCCCTCTCCCAGAAGTGTTCATATAATACTGAAATTTGATGAATGTAGAGTTTGTACTTGCCATTTTCCTATCTGTCATTTTCCTCTTCCTTTACAGGAAGAGTTAAAAATCTATCACGCTATGCTGGTAAAAGTATATGTGCTTAAACAGTTATGCTATTTTAGTGTTTCAAAAATGATTATTTATTGAATGAGCACTACCTCCCATGCCCTATAATGACAGCACACAGCTAGGTGAAGTTCTGGCAGCTGTCAAAGGAGCAAAATATAGCATAAGGTAAGGATGAGTATAGAGATGATATAAGGATGAATGAAGTATATATTATTATTATTGTACTGAGGAGGAATTTAGAGATCTAAGAAATGCAATTATATTATCAAGTCAAGAGATGGGAAACCTGTGGCCTTCCAGAAGGTGTCAGATTACAAATCCCATAGTCCTTGTGTGAGCTTAATGAAGTTTGAGTTTAGAGGATGTCATATGTTGTTTGCCTTTGCTATAGTCTCTCTCTTCATTTTCACCTAATTCATCAACCAAAAACATTCTCCCTGTTGTTCTATGCTGATAAGTCATTTCCAAACTATAATTATTATAAGATGAACCTATCACAGGGTTTTCTTGGCAAGATTTGTACCTATATTAGCATAAATAAAAATATGGGCACCCTTTGGGGACGTAATTCCATTCATCTTGAGTTGATTTTAACTTGCCCACTTCACAAAGTGACTTTTTGTGATACTTAGATATGCTAGATATTGCTGATATTTATCAATGCAATCTTGGAAAATGAAAAACAGTATGTTTTTTTACTGTACCAATGGCCTTATGGTTTTATCTCATGCTGCTCCCAGGTAGAATACTCAGAAGATAGACCCAGCCTAACTTCTGATGCTCACATGGTTCTTTCTGTATGATCTAGGTAGGGTGCATCGAAACTGATCTAGGGACGGGTGCATCAAAGTTCATTCTACTCTGTACAATAAATGCAGTTTGATACTACATTAACCACCATGGATTAATACCATGGAATCATGAGAGCTGTAGTTTTACAAGATTTTTAGGTTTCTCTGCCTCATAAAAATGCAACTCCCATGAGTTCAAACCATTGAAAAATGGCAGTCAAAGTTGTGTTTAACTGCATTCATTCTGAAGAGTAGATACCTCCCTGTTCTCCTATTGTGCTTCATTCTTACAAGAGTACTGTGGGATACAGTAACAGTGAATGGCACCTTCATAATTTCAGCGATTTCTATATCAGGCTTAAATGACTTTAAAACTCAGTAAATACAAACCTTCACCACTAGAGGGAGAATCTGCAAGCATTCTCAAAAAAAGCACTACAGTGAAATCAACTGGGTAGCAACTTTACTATGACAAATTATAAGTGTGTGTTTTTGTCCCAATCAATTTACTACTGACGTAACTACCACTGATACGAAAGAGAAAGTTTACTTTGCTCTTAAAGCCTGTGTGAGTGTTCTAAAATGGAAACAAGAGTGAGAAACGGAGATTTCAGTACCCTGTTGATTTTGGACCCTGCCTTGCCTGGCATGCATGCATTTATTCTAATTGGGAAGTAAAGGTCTGGAGACCTATTTATTTATTTATTTATTACCACATTTATATACCGCTCCTCTCAGCCCAGAGGCGACTCGGAGCAGCTCACAATTAGCAACAATTTGATGCCTCAATAATTATAACAAGTAAAACAATCATAAAATACTGTTGAAAATATTAGCATGCAATATAAGAATAGAAAAAACCATACAAAGCCTTAAAAACATTATCGTGAGCATCTCCATGTCAAGTTATTATTCAATTGCGTCATCAAGTGGTTCCATGATTTCGTACAACTATGCTGTATTTGGGAAAGCCTGCTCCAAAAGCCAAGTTTTCATCTTTCTTCAAAAAGTCAGGAAGGAGGGGGACGATCTTATATCCCTAGGTAAGGTGTTCCACAGTTGAGGGGCCACCACTGAGAAGCCCTGTCTCTCGTCCTTGCCAAACATATCTGCGAGGAAGGCGGGACTGAGAGCAGGGTCTCCCCAGAAGATCATTGTGTCCTACATGGTTCATAAGGAGAGATACGTTCGAATAGGTAAGTTGGACCAAAACCGTTTAGGGCTTTATAGGCTAAACCCAGCACTTTGAATTGTGCCTGGAAACAAACTGGCAGCCAGTGGAGCTGGCGCAGTAGAGGAGTTGCATGCTCCCGCAGTGCCGCTCCTGTTACCAACCTGGCTGCCGCCCACTGGACCATTTGCAGCTTGCGAGCAGTCTACAAAGGCAACCCCACGTAGTGCGCGTTGTAGTAGTCTATACGGGATGTAACCAGAGCGTGGACTACCGTGACCAAGTCAGACTTCCCAAGGTACAGGCGCAGCTGGTGCACAAGTTTTAACTGTGCAAATGCTCCCCTGGTCACCACCAAGACCTGGGGTTCCAGGCTCAGCGATGAGTCCAGGATCACACCCAAGCTGTGAACCTGAGCCCTCAGGGGGAGTGTAACCCCATCAAGCACAGGCTGTAACCTTATGCCCTTTTCGGCCTTAGGAGTACCTTTGTCTCGTCTGGATTCAATTTCAATTACCATACCCCAAAGGACAACAATAATGAAAGCCTGAGCCTGGACACACTGAGTAATAAATGCATATGCCTCTGTTCATATGTCACTTCAACATCAAAAATTCCTCCCAATGTGTACAATTGAGAATGGGCTTAGAAACTGAGATTCTTTTGCCTCCTTTAATTGTTTTAAAATACCTTAATTTTTGTAGAGTTGGGGCACATGATCCCTACAAAAGTGGAAAACCACAAATATAGGCCCACTATGAGGTTTTGTTTTTGACCTTCAAGAGAACTCTTCTCTATGCATTTCTAAGTCCTACTATGGTCAATTTCTGTTTGAAGTTGTTATTCAAATAATAAAATCCATGAATGTTTAACTCACAAAAATGGAGGAATGAGTCTCTTGCTTACAAATAAGCACCATGAATAACCATTAGGAATTCTGCTCATTGTTTGTCCAGTAGTCTTCTCAGAGGCCAACCTGGAAGGCCAAGCATTCTCTTAAATACTGGTATTGTGCAGAACACTGTGCAGTGGCAGACAGTACAGGGAAAATCAAGGAAGACTTTCCCCATTCCACAGCTAAATTGTCAAATACTTTACATTTTTCAAAGGGGTACTTCAGTGTTTCAATTTTTTCATATGTATAACAATTGTTTTTGTTTGTTCATTGCCTTGGGAGCCCAGTGGGCTGAGAGCCAATACAGAAATACCATAGATAGATAGATAGATAGATAGATAGATAGATAGATAGATAGATAGATAGATGATTGATCTCTCTGGAGCAATTTCCTAGAATGGTAGCTAGCTACTATTTCCAATGTATAATGCTATCACATTGTCTCCTCCAATCCGAAAATGCTTTTCCATTTTAAGGAAGTGCACTCAAAGAAAAAGAGGTTAGTATGAAACACAAACACATGCTGGTTGAGATTCAGAGTAAACTGGTATATCAAAGCTCTCTTGTGAATGGAATTTGGGTGTGTCATGTTTACTGAGTTACACCCACTACTTAAATGCTCTACTTTCAAAAGATAAGGACATGGAAGAACAAGGATCCTTTTCTCCCAAGGTGTCAACTGTGACAACAAAAACATTATCCTTCCAGTAAAAAGAAGGCTTTTCCTCTTAGAAACCTTGTTCCCAGCTACACTGACATATAATGCAGTTGGGAACTGCATTATGTGGCCCTTGTAGACAAATATAATGCAGTTTAACTGTATTAATAGGATCTACACAGACCATATACCAGTAATGAAGTTTCAAACTGCATTATATAGCAGTGTATATGCGGCCCAAGAGATAGGCAAAACATAGCATAGGGTATATTGGTTATGCATACTGTCTGTTATATGTACACAAACGAAATAATATGGATGCATATTTAATCTTCTACAGGGAATCTACCCAATGTACAGCAGAACCTGGGTGGCAATGTCATTCAACCAAGTATTCAAGAAAAAGGATGTTACCAGCAAACCTCTGCAAGGGAGCTTCTTCTGGCTGGTGACACTTTTGAAATCTTTCACCCCAGAAAACAGCAATAATTAAAGCTGGTGTGCTACTGTGAATGAGGTCCCTTCTACACTGCCATATAAAATCCAGTGTAGACTCATATAATCCATTTCCAAGCAGATGATATGGATTATCTGCTTTGATAATCTGGATTATATGGCAGTGTAGAAGGGTCCTGAGAGAAAGTACTGCAATGCACACTACTTCCACTGATGAAGGTATGACACATAGAAGGCACTGCAAGGACAACTTCACAGTATCCTTACACTAAAGCAAATTCTGCTCCCTCCTTAAGTACTGTATTATGAAAACCAACTAAGAAAATGCACTGCTTACACATTATGAAATGGGCCTCTGCAGTAATGCATCAGATTGTGCTTTTAAGAGCTTAACCCAAGCCAACTTACCATTAATATTTCACTGTAAAGCAAATACTCTTGTATAGCAGGAAAGAGGCTTTCCGAAAGTGCAGCCATCCGCTTTTCTGTAGCCTTGCAACATTGGTCAATGCAGCCAGCCAACCCTTTTAGGGTGTCGACCAGGTCTTCTTCCGAGGCTGACCAAAGTGTGTGGATTGGGCCAAATTCCTTCATTTCATACAAATAGTCTTGAAAAAGTGGAGGCAAATAAAATATTTTAGTTATAAACATTCAGATCAATTTTGAAAACATTCAAAGATAAATCCAATTACAATTCTAACTATAGTATAATCCCCATATGCATGGGGGATGTCCTGTTGAATTTCCCATGAAAACAGTAAACCATGGATAACAGTGAACCCTATTAAAATGAATTACTTCTGCCAGAAGTTATGATAAAGTTGCCTGGAGGACATAGAAACTTTCTAGAGAGAACATATTTAACAAATATGGACAAGACAGGAATTGATACCGGATTCCCCTCCTTTACATCCTCCTCATTGTTGTTGTTATTATTACTATTGTTATTATTATAAAAATTACAAACAAATACAAGACACTATGCTTCAATCAATTCCACGAATTTACTGAAAGCGCGTTATATAAATTAAAATGTAAGAAGTTTATCAATTAGAAATATAACTGCATATAATCTATACATAATTAAGTATAGGTTATAGCATGATAGTCAGGTCTATCTCTTCTGTTCCACCAACCTTTTTCTTCCTTGTGAACCCGGTGGGAGATTTTGTCCAAGAGACTGATCTTCTGACTAAAAATGTCCACATATTCAATCATTTCCGTAAATACCTCTGGACGGTTTTTCACAGCTCCTCCCCTCATCGATGATGCGACTGCTTTAACAGTTTGTCCCATTCTGCTGAACAAACCGGGGCCCTGCTTCTTGTGCGATGAAAGTTCCTGAAAAATTAAGGTAGGAATTCCTAACACAGACATGGGAGTGCACATGTTATAATTTCTAGCTGGATTTCAAATAGGCCAAAATATGGCAGATATGATATACTTGGAGCATATACCATCACATAGTTATTTGCATTTCACTTAGACACTTTGACAATATGCCATGTTTTAATCCAGAGGGCTAAATCTAATATCAGTCCCAACAAGAGTTCCACTAAAATGAACAGGACCTGTTTATTCAAGATGGGATTGATAATTGCATTTAATTCAGAATCCATTTAAGTAAATATGTATTCTTTCAGGTTCAAGACACAAGTACATTCGGAACTTTTAATTGTGTCATGTCATATCCTACCTGCACTTTTTGGAAATTAAAATTACAACCAGCTCTCCACATTAGTTGGGGTTAGGGTGCAGAACCTCCACAAAAGTGAAATGTTGGGTTTTTTCTAATTGAGGATTTTCTCTTGGAATTGCCCTAGGAATCTCAAAATGCTCCAGCACGGTTCTATGGTTAACTTTCAGCAGAAGCTGACCATAAAATTGCACTGGAGCACCTAGATTTTCCTGGGCTCCGTCTACACTGCCAAATAATGCAGTTTCAGAATGTAAATTAACTGCATAGATTGTATGGCAGTGTAGGAGCATATACTCCAGCTGAATGCAGTTCAATATGCATTATATGAGTCAACCTGACCATTATAATGCAGTTCAAACTGCATTATATGGCAGTGTAGATGGGGCCCTAGTTAATTCAATCCACAAAATAATCAAATCAGCACTAGTTAAGCCCGCCAAAGGGCCGAGTGTATTTTATTTACCTTCTCTAGGGTGTTCTATCTACTTTTTGAAGATTACAAAAAAGGAAAATGGTTAATATACCAATCTGGTTTGAATGTAATACTAAATCATTATTTGGATGATAAGGCTGAGCTCTCCTGCCTGATTCCCTTTTGTTGCACTCCAAAAAAAGAGATTTCAAGTTCTGCTTCTTTTTCCTTTAATGGGAAGGTTATATCTCAGCTAAACTACAGGTTAGCCATTAAACACATGATTTCACTTAGAACATTTTCTTCATTTAGAAATCCAGTCTGAGGGACTGGTTAGAGTGGTTTGGGACTTGGGAGATCCAGCTATATATTCTCATGGAGCCATGAAAATCACCAATTGACATTGGGTCAATGACTCTTCCTGACACGGTTATTGTGAGAATAAATTGAGGAGGAAGAAAGCCATTGCTGTACCCTTGAACTCAATGGGAAAAAGGCAGGACATGTGAAAGCAAATGGAGGAAATCACAAAGACATGAACAAATCCTGAAACAGTTTCCTTGCATAGCTCTATAGTTAAAGAATTAATTCAAACCTAGTTAGATGCCTGACCTTAACCCAACATAGCAAATCCTAGGGCTGGGCGGTTTCGTTTCGTTAATTCGTAATTCGTTAAAAATTCGTTATTTTTTTTGTTAACGAAGCGATAACGAACCATTCTGGAGCAACTTAAAAACGAAACAAATTTTTCAATTCGTTTCATAAATGCTTCGTATTTCGTTATGTATTCGTTTCGTTATTGGTTTGAGGTCGTTTCGTTATTATTTCCGCATGTCTGGGGCAAGTTTTATAGTTGTTTTTTGTTTAATTAGTGAAAAAAATTATAATATCACACCAACAGTCAACAACAGAGGGAGAGGGAAGCTTCAGAAGTTTTTTTAGCGTATTGCGCGATCGCGGCCGTTATTAACGAATCGATCCGTTATTGTTTCGTTATTGTTTTGTAATTTTTTTACCATTTACGAAATTTCGTAAATATCGAACTTTTTTTAGAAAATTTCGGAATTCTTTTAAATATCGAAACGCAAAAACCCCAAAAAACGAATCGATTTTAGAAACAAATTTTTCCATTGTTACCCAGGCCTAGCAAATCCTACTTTATGGTAAAAAATATCAAAGTTAAAAAAACAAACAAATCAAGGTTCTTTACCCAGGCTTGTGCTGTAAGAAATATTTTAAAGTCCTCATTAAATGTTAAAGTGGGATGATCAGCAATCCGGTTTAAAAATTTGTGCAGAGCTTTCTTTCTCATCTCGATGAATTTGTCGTTAAATCGTTCCACAACTCCTTTCATTATGAATTTTTCAGGCAATGGCTACAGAGAAAATAATTCAAGGAAGAAGAAACGTGATTAAGTAGCACAATTGTAAGCATATTTAAAACACTGGCTCTAAAAATACAGTCCTTAGACAAAACAATGTCTCAAAATAAAATGGCTAGCAGCTGTTTTATTATTAGAACAAATAAAATGGGAGAGGATGTACTAGAGAAAAAAACATGTTGGTATTTGTAATTTAAAATCACTTTCTGATGGTGAGAACACTGGTTTATATTTAAAGTAAGACTTAAAAATACATGAATAAAATACCTAGATTTCTATCCTACTGTATCTTCAACAGTGGGATTTAAGGAAACAAAAGGAAAACTGCATTTTGGTGGCACACCTCTCTAAACTGATAGGTTTTAGCTCTTTTTGTTCTGATTCCAACTTTTTTGACATATCAAAACAGGACAAAACTAATATAAGTTAGTGGACCTACAGGAATGATGAGTGTTGGATGTGCTTCTTCAAGTCTTCCCTTTAACCAAAGGAAATCTTGATATCGTCGCCGAACTTCATACTCACTGGAGTCAAATTCACCACGGGTTGTCTGAAAACCATAAAGATGACAAAGGAAGATGAGGCACACATCTAAAAATTCGATGACTATAGTATAAACTTCAGACAACACATAAAAAAAATTCAGAAGACAAAAATAAATAAAAGAATATTTTACTTAAAGCCAGAAAATTTAAAGCCAGTTGAAACTGGTTATGTTATTGTTTTTACTGTTGGTTTTACCGGTATTGAATTGTATCGGAGTTGTAAGCCCCCTTGAGTCCCCTGAAGGGGAGAAAGGTGGGGTATAAATTAAGTAAATAATAAATAAATCAATAAATACTATTTAAAATAATGCCAACTATAGTATACATGTGAGTTAGCACTGTAGAGTAGGGCACTTGGGAAATCCGAATCCCCTTTCAGTCATGGAAACTTATTGAGTGACCCTGAGTAAGTCACACTCCATCAGCCTCAGAGAAATGCAACAATCCCTCTCTGAACAAATTTTGTTTAAAAACTCAGTGATAGGTTCATATTATGATGACTATAAGTCAGAAGTGAAGGCAAAGAACAACATTAGCACATGTGCAAATTAGATAAGATCAGTTGGGTCCCCAAAACATTAATAAACATCCTTGGGTTTAAATAATGTATTAAATTTTCACAAAAAATTAAAGGAACAACTAAACACAGGAATTAAAATAAGAAACAAAACAGTATTTTGATTTGATGCTATAATGACACCATGTGGAACAGAGAAGAGAGGCACTCCATTATGGATTTCTATCAATAGGGCAGGATCTGAGATTTTAAGAACTGTCTGTGAAAATTTTGACATGTTTCCCTCAAACCACTTATATTCATTTCATTTCATTTCAAAAATAGTTTATTCTATAGCATAGGGGTTGCTGTTAGAGGAGCATAAAGTCCCTAGGGTAGTCAGCATTCTTTGGATTTCTGACTTTACCATCATATAACAATATTCTACTTCCTTCTTGAATTAATCACTGCAATTTATTTAGTCGGTTATTTTCTTATTTTGTTCAGTATCTCCTTATGTAAAAAAAACATTATTATGATCTATAAGTTTGTGTAAACCATGGTCTGACACCTGCAAGAAGTATAACCCTTCCAAAGTTTGCATATCTGAAGCAGTACTTTTATGCTTTAATGGTTTTTATTTATGTTTTATATTGTAATGCTGATTGTTTTTAATGGCACTTTTATGAATGCCTGACATCGAATTGTGCCAATCTGTAACCCGCCTTGAGTCGCCGTATTGCTGAGAAAGGCGGGCTACAAATATTGTAAATAAATAAATAAATGCTTTGTAGTAACCAAATGCTAACCTTTGTCACCACCCTGTAGGTGATGAATGTCTCAATGGCAGTGACGTGGCTTTCTGGATCATCAACTGTAATGAAAAGGTCCTTTGATTCTGGCTCATCTTCAAACTTATACTGGTTTATCATAGACGATGGAGACGTTGGCATCAAAGGACTGAATGAATTTATTTCTGTCAGGGATGCATCCTGTGGATAAACAAGACATTTGAAAGATTTGTATCTTGCACCAAGATAAACAGCTTACTGCCTTATGGCAATATACAACCCGTCAATCATAGCATACAACCACGTTGGGGTTTTTTTTAGTATCCATGAGTACATATTAGATCTCTGAAGTTCTCAACTCTAAATAAAACCATGTTCCTAGCCCTCTAGATCAGGAGTCCTCAAACTTTTTAAACAGAGGGCCAGGTCACAGTCCCTCAAACTGTTGGAGGGCCGGATTATAATTTGAAAAAAAAAACATGAATTCCTATGCACACTGCACATATCTTATTTGTAGTGCAAAAAACACTTAAAATAATACAATAATTAAAATGAAGAACAATTTTAACAAATATAAACTTATTAGTATTTCAATGGAAGTGTGGGCCTGCTTTTGGCTGATGAGATAGGATTGTTGTTGTTGTGTGCTTTCAAGTCATTTCAGACTTAGATTGACCCTGAGTGAGGGCCGAGTAAATGACCTTGGAGGGCCGTATCTGGCCCCCTGGCCTTAGTTTGAGGACCCCTGCTCTAGATTGAAAGTGAAAAGAAAGCATCAACATTTACCATCAAAGGTTAGTGTGTTTCTAAGCACATGGGGCAGATTAGAAACATTACACTTAAGGTGTAGCTTTATAGTACTGCATATCTTTTCTTGAAAGCAAAGAACATTACCAGTAACCCCTGTATCTGCATCTACTGTATATACTCATGTACAAGTTGACCTCATGCATAAGTTGAGGGAAGGTTTTGTGGTCCAAAATTGTGGATTTTGATATGACCCATAGATAGGTTGAGATGGGAAAGCCAGTTGCCCCTAGCCATCACTGTCATTTTGCCACCCAGAAAAGCCAGAAGCAGAACTATTCTAGAGAGCAGGTCAGTGCTTCTTTCAAGTTCTCCTAAAACTCTTAAGTTTCTTAATGTTATTCAGAAAAAAGAGATAGCTCCTTTTTTTATAAGAACTAAGCTGCAGAAGTCACATTGACCTATGGACAAGTTGACCCAGGTTTGTCAAATTGATATTTTGAAAATAAAAATTCTAGCTGTATATATGAGTATACAAGGTATGTTATATGCAGCTCTTGAAGAGTACCTGTAATACAAGAAAGACAGGATTAAATTATTGACTCACTTGTCTAGCACCAACTGTTTGATATGTACCAAGACTTCACACTCCTAGACTTCTTTAAAATACTTCCCTAGCTTCCCTTTCCCGCTTCCCCACTGGCACACTAGTCTCAACCAGCTGTTCTTTTCTTGTCAGGCAATAGCTACCTCCACAATGGCTATCTCTTTGAAAAACTGGCCACCTCGTTATCATTGAAGTGGCAAAAAAGGGAAGAAAGGAACATATCACTCACCCAAGGAGCCACAATAGCTTTGGTGTCTAGGCCTACTGCCTTGCTTTGCCTTGACCCCTGAAGGTCACACAGCTCTGATACTGGCTTTTTTCAAGCACATAGAGCCTCTTTGTAGATAAGGAGTCAGAGGTTGCATGAAAAAGCACATTTCTTGCAAGAGATTGCCAATAATCTACCTACCTTTTCCTGAAAGATCATTGTATACATTTATTAAGATGTATAGAAATAGGTTATTGTGTTTTCCTGCAGGAACCCTTAGTAATAATCAACATTAACATCCACAAAAAGACTCTCTCTATGTGTGTGTGTTCACATGTACATCGGATGCGCGCGCACACACGTTTCTGAGAGAAGAAGCAGAGTAGCACTGTGGTTAACAGCACAAGCTACAACTAGGTTGTTTCTGCTTCGGTTTTTAGCTTTGCCACAAATCTATGAGATATTCTTATGTCAATCATCGTGGTCAATCTCATTTACAATCTGTTTGCCAATAAAGATCAAACCAGATACAATTCCAGTCTTCAAAAACATGCAGACTGATGCAGTGCATCTCTAACTTTATTCCCCTGCTTGGTCAGGAGTTTATGTTTAAAATTTTCTTCCCACTCTCCTCTCATTTGCTACTAACTTTATATTAATAGTAATATATGAGAGATTGGCTTTCCTTCAATTAGGTTGTTCTATCCTTCAGCAATAGTGAAAAACACGATTTTACATTTGTTTTAGTTCTTTTATGCAAATATTGGGGTTTTGGGATTGTTGTGAGTTTTCCGGGCTGTATGGCCATGTTCTAGAAGCATTCTCTCCTGACATTTCACCTACATCTATGGCAGGCATCCTCAGAGGTTGTGAGGTCTGTTGGAAACTCAGCAGGTGAGGCTTTCTTATATATTGTAGATGAACCAATGTTTTCTGCATAAAATATTGAAGAAGGAAAAATTTTCTGTGCAAATAAAAATTTCACAAAAAAGCTCATCTTTTTAAAAACAAAATAAAGGTTGTGGAAAATGGATAAAAACTTACTCAGTGGATGAATATTCTGAGATTTTTTTTACCCTCAAACGTTACACTGAACCACCTTGCAATGATTGCCCTGATCTAGCATGATAGTTTCATGAAGCAACATTCTCCATGGCTAGTAAAAACAAAAGGAGATCTGAACGTATGTAATCATATGTGTCATGCTGCTTATCTGAGTGAACCATATTGACTGAACTGGCTGGATATTGTTCATTGTGTTATAAAGGCTGGGATGTACAATCTCTTTTGAGGTCATTTGATGCAAATACAATCAGCCCTTCACATTTGTTTGCTTCACTTGTACACATCTGATTATTTACAAGTTTGATTAATATGTTCTCTCTAGGAATGCCTAGGTCTTCAAGCACAACTCTTATGGTTAACTTTCAGCAGAAGTTGGCCATAAATCACATTGGAGGATCTGGAGATTTCTAAATAGGGGTCCTTTCATGGAGGCCCTAAGCCCCGAACCACAATAAATGTGGGGGTTCCACTGTGTAGTGTATAATATCAGCATTTGTTCATTGAACCTTTACTTTGGTATCTCAAATTGTTAGACAATGTACATTTATTTCATATAGCCAATACACTGTACTGGTCTGGCTTATGACTTTGGAGACCAGGGTTCAAATCCCTGCTCAGGTGAATTTGCATAGATCACTCTCTCATCAACAGAGGAAGGCAACAAAAAAACCCTCTGAACCAATCTTGCAAAAAATATTCCATGATAAGCTTGCTTTAGGGTTGTCATAAGATGGAAACAAAATGAAGGCAAACAACAATAACATTTGAACTGGGGCCTCCCAGTGCATTAAACTAGCTCTGTAGATAAAGGAATAACTTTGGGACAAATTGTTCCCAGATGCCTATCTGATTTTAAACTATACCACTAACGCAAGTGATCTATAAGAATGCTTCTCTCCAGAATGGCTTTTTAGTTTTTTAAAACTTCAAGCCACTGCTTTTGATAGAGTATATAAGGGCCCTGCATTTCTCATCCCTGTTAGGAAGAGGTGATGGTCTACATTATTATCTTCCAAGGCTTCATGCAATGTTTCTGTGCTCCAGGGGCACCATTAGGCTACACAGCCAGCTATTTTCTAAAACGTATGTACTTCATGTTTATGCTTTGAGTAATAATCTGGATTATTAAAGTTGACAGTTTTAAGATTCTCATTTTTCACCACTTAGGGAGCTGTTTTATTTCCATTGTGCACACTGTAAGGAATGATATATGAAGTCAATTTACTCTCAGGTACTCATGCAATAGAAAAATAATGTTTTGGTTAGGTAGCAAACTTTGCAGATGAATACATGGAGGGAGCACGGAAGCAAGGGAATTTCCCTCTTAATATTGATTTTGTAGGAACACTTCTATTAATGTCTCCAAAAACTGGTTTTACAATAATACGGATCAGGAGAGGGGAGGGGGAAGAGAAAGTAAGCACCTTCTTTCTTTTCAGATCAGCTTAAGTTTCAAGGTTGTTGTTCATTCATTCAGTAGTTTCCAACTCTTTGTGACCTCATGGACTAGCCCACGCCACAGCTCCCTGTCGGCCGTCACCACCCCCAGCTCCTTCAAGGTCAAGCCAGTCACTTCTATCCTTCCCTCCAATGAGCAGTTGGGCTTTATTTCTTGAAGTATGGACTGGTTGGATTGTCTGGTGGTCCAAGGCACTCTCAGCATTTTCCTCCAACACCACAGTTCAAAAGCATCTATCTTCTTTAGTTCAGCCTTCCCTATCGTCCAGCTCTCACATCCGTAGGTGACTATGGGGAATACCATTGCTTTAACTATGCGGATCTTCGTTGCCAGTGTGATGTCTCTACTTTTATTTTATCGAGATTGGACATTGCTCTACTCCCAAGAAGTAAGCATCTCCTGATTTCCTGGCTGCAGTCTGAGTCTGCAGTAATCTTTGCACCTAGAAATACAAAGTCTGTCACTGCCTCCACGTTTTCTCCCTCTATTTCCCAGTTGTCAATCATTCTTGTTGCCATAATCTTGGTTTTTTGATGTTTAACTGCAACCCAGCTTTTGCGCTTTCTTCTTTCACCTTGATTAGAAGGCTCCTCAGCTCCTCTTTGCTTTCGGCCATCAAAGTGATGTCATCTGCATATCTAAGGTTGTTAATGTTTCTTTCAGCGATTTTTACCCCACCCTTGCATTTGTCAAGCCCTGCATATCGCATGACGTGTTCTGCATACAAGTTGAATAGGCTGGGTGAGAGTATACAACCCTGCCATATGCCTTGAACCAGTCTATTGTTCCATGGTCAGTTCTTACTGTTGCTACTTGGTCCCTATACAGATTCCTCAGGTTTCAAGGTGCTGAACAGGATTATGAAGGATCAGCACCTTGAATAACTCTTTCAAAGTTCAGAGTAAAAAACAGAGTAGATTTGCTGCCCCACTGACATGCCCAAGGAGAGAGAGGCTATTAAATGGGGGAAAGGGATAGAGGGTCAGGGAAAAATCTAGTAAGTGTATGAATGGGGTGAAGATGCAAGCAGAATGGACTATAATGGGAATTGTATTTTGCTCCAGATGTTAGTTGATTGCAGTGCCCATTAGCCTTGCTAGCATAGCTGAAAGATG